TTATTTTACTGGCGGAAACTTTCACTAGGCAATTTGTAACACTTATAGAAATTTCTACATTGGTTACTAATTAGACATGTGCACCCTTAAACGCTGGTGGTTTTCATCATGACGCAATGTGCTCGACGTGGGTCCTTTGCGACGTATGCAAAACGCGTACATTGCATTGGTTGTTTACTCAGAATTCGACCATGACTGCCTCTTGAAACCATTCCATCACAGTCACTCTACTAGGAGAGTGACTGTGATTCCATGCTATCAAGGGAATACATCTGCGTCCAAATAAATAATTAAAAATTGTGACACGAAATGGTATAATTATGTATTCAATTTTGCTCAATTAAATTGTAACGTGTGTGATTAGGTCGCGTAACCCAAATTAATGGTTGTATATTTTATGTAGGCAGTTCTGTTCTTACATGGCTGTAAAATTGGTTATTTTCGAGGAGATGTTAAAACTTTGATGGATGACATAAAAGAGTTAAGACCGACGTTTTTATGTCTGGTGCCAAGGTTGATGAACAGAATATACGACAAGGTAAGATAAGCCAACGCATGCTTTAACCTTTTCACCACCAGACTTTCTCGCCCAAATTAGTCAGCACGAGTAGGATCCAAGATCGAACAGGACGCGGCGCGACGACAACCGCCCATTAAGTTGTCGATGCCGCGAGCATACCGATGTATCGTAGTGGCTATGGTGGTCGAATGTTTCTTTGACCTCGGTGTTTTTTAAGGGTTATGAATGGTCACACCACAAGTTCAGAGATATCACTTCTCCGATCGTAGTACAATGCGCCTCAATACCCATAATTCCTATGCTATGCATTATACCATTATTATACCAAGACTCAATTGACATTGTTTTATCTCTCGATAATTAAAGATTATGAGTGGCGTTGCTGCTAAAAGCTGGTTAGTAAGACGACTATTTTTCTTTGCCTTAAAAAGAAAAGAAATGGAACTACAAAAGTAAGTACATGTTTCTCTGTTATATCATAAGATTTAAGTATTTTTGGCATTTTAACGTTTCTTAGATATTATAATAATTACTTAATTGTTTGTTTGTTTTTATTATAGAGGAATTATCCGAAATAACGGCATCTGGGATTCCTTTTTTAAAAAAATGCGGGTAATACTTTCTTTTATTGTCTCAACATGTACGCTTGCTTCGTTGAAAACCGAATGTTGCAAGCGATGTAAGCAAATACTAGTAACACACAGAAAACTACTTTCTTCAATATACTGACATTATTAAAAACGCGATAAATGGAGTTCGTCTCATGCCAGCTAACATTATTGATCACGTGAATTCAACCGCCATACATCGCCTCGATAGTTAACTTAATTACTGAACAACATTATCTTGTTTTCTTTTGTTTGTTTTTCAGCAAAGTCTTGGTGGACGCGTAAAAACTATCACTTCCGGAGCAGCACCAATTTCACCCCAAATAATGACATTTTGTCGAGCTGTGTTCGGCTGTATTGTGAGTACGACTGTCATTATACGTGTATTTATCCACACACTGTGCTCTTGTATCGATCCTTCTTGAAAGTTTTCTTCAAACGTGTCAAGTTACCTCCATGTTCTGTTTATGTACATCCATGGAGGATTTGATCGATAAGGCATGTAATATTGTTTTCTTTGCTCAGATAATGGAAGGGTATGGACAGACAGAATGTACCTGTGTTACATCGATTTCACTGCCCACTGATACTTCTGCTGGTCACGTGGGTTGTATCGTCCCTTGTTTTGAGGTCAAGTTGGAAGATGTCCCAGAAATGGAATATTTTGCTGCAAAGAACCAGGGAGAGGTAAGAAACCACCAACAAACATATTACAATATGCTCCTCGAGTTACTTTCATCCTATCTACCGCATTTATGTATTAGTTTTATTTGATTGATTGATTGATTGATTAATATATAGTGATTGATTATTTGCAGATATGCATGAGGGGCCCTGGCGTATTCAAAGGGTACTACAAAGATCCCGCTAAGACTGCCGAAACAATTGACAAAAATGGCTGGCTGCACTCTGGAGATATTGGACAATGGCTTTCGGTAGGTTGGATTGTGGGCTTGTGGTAGGTTTGAATGTGAGCTTCCGGTACAATATAAACATGTTGAAGTTCAAATTGGGATATGATTTATGGCAATCTAAAAATGTTTCATTCGCAGAACACAACTATGTAGTTAAGCACGTGCAGGGAATGTTATTTTACGTAGCAATAAAATCCATACGGACCAATATTAGAAAACTTCTGTGGTGCAAAGACATCGTAATGTTGAATTTGTTTATCACGCATCATAATCAAAATGTGTTCATCAGCACACAGTATAAAAAATATACTTCATTGTACACGGTGGCTAAACTATGCACGAGTGAGTGGATGAATGTGGCAGACAGGGTGGCCACAGTCAGCTGGTGCGCACGTGATAATACCGTAAAATAAATGCGATATTTACTATATGGGGGCCGCCATCTTGAATGCGGCACAAAACTAAATAAGAGACAACTTGTGAAACGCGTTTTTCAGATTCCTACAAATCAGGACATAAAACAATCTTTCACAGAAATATATTATATTATATTATATAGTAAATATCGCATTTATTTTATTATCACGTGTGCGCCAGCTGACTGTGAGGGTGGCGTGAGTAGTTGCCTCGGCTCTCACCATTTCGAATACACCCAAGAATGTATTTTTATTTTACCATATAACAGAGACGAAGGGACAGGTAAACACGGCGGGGTGGAGCATGTCTGTCGTGGTGGTTGTTGTTGACTTCGTCGTAAACATCATTTTTGTTACAATTACTCAAATAGTTTTTATCCAATCTTTTTCGAAATTGGACATTTTATTAACCGGTGTTGGATTTCGCGAAGTTTTATTTTCGTATGTATTTTATGTACATTTTTCAAAATATGTCAAAACCATCTTAAATAGGGGAATAATTGCATAGGATGGAGACATTTATACTGCTGATAATGGGAACCAGATGTTAATATTATGCTTTCCAAGATCTGTCAGTTAGATGTATAAGAAATGTTCATATCAGTGTAGAAGACGTATTGAGAATTGCACTTTGCAATCACTTGCCAAAGTGTACATTTTCCCCGTGCTACGTCTTTTCAATACCTGTTAAATACTAGTAATAGCTAAATTCCTAAGAAGTAAGATTGTAATTCTAAATTCCAAATCAAAATTATACCAGGTGATCAGGCTTAAAGGGCGGTGGTCTTCGCGCTGCGCGTGTGCGACATGTGTGCCGATAAACATTTTCCCACAATCCAATGCGCTCTTCTAATGGAAATCACAAGTACGAGTTTTAACCTGGGCGCGACTTGCCGCCTGTGACTTCGATACCTTCCAATCACAAAAAATTCACTGATTTAAAGCTTGGTAACGTCTCAGTTGATCGTTGATCTGCGCAACAGTCAAAAGTGCCGTATCCATTACATGGAAACTGTAACTAATAACAGTATACATGTACTTGATTTGTTTTGTAATCTTTATTTACAGCGTGGCGAGCTTAAAGTCATAGACAGAAAGAAACATATTTTCAAACTAGCCCAGGGAGAGTACATCGCTCCAGAGAAAATAGAGAATGTCTACATA